CTGGATCAGTTTTTATCAGATCCGTTGCAACCCCTTTTTTAGAGATTTGGGTATGGAGGAAAATAGAGAGGGTTGTGTTTTCTGACACTTGGTGAGTTCCCTGGAACACATATTCATGTATAAAAGACGTACAAAAGTGCATTTTGCATGATAGGTCCCCTTTAAGTAAAGTATGGAGGTTTTATCAGAACAATGTAGGCCTACTTAAAGTATGAAAAGTAAAAGGAGTAATTCTGCAACAATAAACCTCCATGTGTGATTTATTTTCATATATGACATTGTTAGATTCTATGATAGGCTATTATTGTTGCATCATTTTGCTCTTGTAGATAAACAAAGTTTTGACAAAACATTATTGACTTTCTGTTTTATATATCATATTCCACTTGTTTGTACCTTTACCAGTTAATCCACAAGTTTATACTTTAACAGTATAAAAAAATTCAATCTGAGATATAAAGGAGTAGAAGTATGAAGTTAAATTATTCATGTAAAGTACAAGCCCTTCAAAATTGTACTTAAGTACAGTAGGCCCTACTTGAGTAAATGTACTTAATTACTTTCAACCAAATACCGATGTTTGAACCAATTGCCCATAGGCCTACATAGAAATGCAATTTATTTTCTTCAAGCCGTATACACTCTGATATTTGAAATAAAGTCAAACTCAAGGAGCTATACATATTTCAGGAAAACGTAAATGTATTCAGAGTAGCTCATATAGGTTTAGTGGATCAAATAGCCTACCTGCCCGCCTGGTGGCCTTGCCTTTGGATTTTTGACTCGCTTCAGTCAGTGCTCTCGTCTTCAGCGTCGGATGGCAGATGGAGAGAGCATGGAGTGCTGCACATGACATTTATCAATGTCAGTTCATTTTTTTATAATTATATTCCAAGCACTACATGTATTGTGCAGTGAGGAGTTATACCTGCCGTCTCACTGGAGAAGACCCCCAGGGCGTGTGTGTCGTCCACCCACTCGATCTTCATCCCACCATCACTGCAACACACAGGAAAGCACGTGAGGACACTGGCAGCTGGACCAATTGTTTGAGGTTTTAATTTACGGACTACGGACATTCAGGAAAGCCCTTAAACTTTATATTTTAGAGTAAATACAGAAAAAATATCTAATTCACATTTTAAAGAATAGATAAACTTGGAAACCGAGGTCCCCTGAACTAGAGTAGAAAAGCTACTGAGATAAAATGAACCATCTGTAGAGAAGTTAAGGATCTTAAAGCGCTGCTCGTACCTGTATTCTGCGAAAGCATCCAGGAGGTCATCAGTTTTGAAAAGAACAGGGAAGTCATAGATCTCGATCACATGGCAAAGCTTTTCCGGGCTGATGCACACGTTCTCATAAATGGAGTCGTTGTGAACATGCTGAATGGAAACAGTCACCATGTCTTTCAGATGTGCCATGATCTGATAGAAAGAACACAGATAATGAATTACAATACAGTATGTTGCTAATGTTGCATCAACATCTTGCCATATCCTCTTGCCAGTTAGCCAAACCACTGTAAAATGTACATCCTCTGCACTCATATTTTGAGAGTCTATTTTGCAATCTTTCGGAAATCTAGCTAGTTTAAAAAAAAAGAAGAGAAAACAAGGAATGTTTGTTTGGTTGCCCCCTGTGAAGGCTACAAGCCTCACAAACAAACACACATGCTAAAGGTTAGGCTTTTTGTTCAGACATACACACATTTATTTGAAACAACTTTATTTTGACTAGATTGAGTGCATGCAATCTTGTGTAATATACTTATTGTGAATTGTGTTGTTTTTAATCCTATTGTCAGTGTTTTGCAGCTCACCTTGCTCCTGGCAAAGGGCTGAGCTGATGAAACCCACCTGCCTATATATATGTGTCAGCTAATTGGACTACGCCATTCCCCTCAAACCCTGAGGGGTGTTTAAGGAGGCCACTTCATTTAAACCACTCATTTGAGCCTCTTCCCCCTGCACTCAACAATGGACTGGCCAGCATTGCTATAAATGCCTGCAGTGTGGAGAGGAAGGCTGTGTGTATGTGAGTTGCTCTTGGATAGAAGAGCACACAGAAAATCACCCATTTTGGTGACGTTTTTGGTTTGTTCATTAATGCTAGATTGTATCTGTGTATCTTATTAATAATACACCTTTTTTTCATCCTAATTGATTTTGTAACCCATCCTAAAACTGTATATATATATATATATATAGGGTAAATAAAATCCTTATTTTTTCCACATCAACCTGCATTCCTAGTTTTTGCGTACCCTGGTCCTTCACACCCCCTGACCCAGCGATAGAGAATAGAAATCCTAGTTTCTGGTTCTTCCTCGCATCCAGCTACGTCACTATCATGTCAAATGATGGTGAATTGATTTTCTTGCTTAGGGAGATAAAGGCCATCGAAACACGGAAACGCCAGGGTGGACAGAAGAAAGGATCCTGTGGTCGGAAAGATTAAGTTAGCTTTATACTGAACTACAGAGGTGGAGAAAGTACTTGTATCTTTACTCTCCGCTCACCCTTTCACCCTCGCCCACCCCCCTGGAGTTTGATGAGCAGATGAAGGAGATACAGAGGGTTGGCACCAAGTCCAAAACGTCCTCCCCCCCCCCCCCTTCACTGTCTCCGAAGCCTGATAAGAATGTGTGTGTACAAAACGTAATCTCTAACTGATATGTGCTGGGTCCAGGCTCAAGGGCGTATGGCACTCTCAACTCTTTCCAGGACAAGCCGGGGCCCTGCCTGCCAGTAGCTTTGCCGATATCTGTGTTGATAGGTAATAGATTAAGAGCGGTGAATCAGCTTAGACACAGGAAGCGCTCAAAAGTTTGTGTGAGTTTATCAAATTTGAAGTGATTCCATGTCAGCCACAGCTTGCCACAAAAAATCTGACTGATAGTGTATTTAACAAACTTAAACTAGCTTTATTAAATGTCAGGTCTTTGGCAGGTAAAACATTTTGAATCAATGATTTTATCACTGAGCACAATCTCGATTTTATGTTTTTAACGGAAACATGGATTGAACAAAATAACAGTGCAGCTGTTATCGAATCAACCCCTCCCAACTTTAGTTTTATGAGTCAGGAAAGAATGCATAAGAAAGGAGGTGGAGTTGCTATTTTGTACAATGATTCCCTTCAATGCAGGAAGACATTTTATGGGAACTTTGCTTCTTTTGAATATGTGGCCCTTCAGCTGAAATGCTCCTCTCGAGTTCCTAAATATCTATAGACCACCCAAATACTGTGCAAGCTTTTTTGATGACTTTACTGAACTGCTGTCTATAGTGTGTATTGACTTTGACTGTCTAGTCATTGTTGGTGATTTTAACATCCATGTTGACAACCCCCAGGACAGAGGGGCTAAAGAACTGTTTTGTGTTCTTGACTGACTCAGCATGTGACGGAGCCCACGCACAATAAGGGGCACACTCTGGACTTAATTATCTCAAAGGGTCTGAATATCTCTAAGGTTGTGGTGACTGATGTTGCACTCTCTGATCATTCCTGTATTTTCTTTGAGAGCTCTATTTCTGTTCACAAACATGTTCAAAAAGAGGTAACCACAAAGCGATATTTAACTGAAAATACTAGGGAAATGTTTACTCAGAATTTTTCTTCCACACTTGCCCCTGCTAACATCTCAGTAAATGAGCTAGTAGATCATTTTAACTAAAAAATGTAAAATGTTATAGATACCATTGCTCCAACTAAGGTAAAGGAAGTGACTGGGAAGAAAATATCTCCATGGAGAAAGGCCATGACCGTGAGAACAGAAAAAAAGAGAGTGTCGAAAAGCTGAACGTAGGTGGCGAAAAACAAATCTCCAGGTTCACTTTGAAATCTATAAAGAGAGACTTGGCTTTTATAATTTGGAATTGAAAATTGCCCGACAGTCTTTCTTCTCTGATATCATTGCCAAAAACAAAAACAACGCACGTGCCTTGTGTGCTACCGTCGACAGACTAACTAACCCCCCAGTGTGTCAGTAGCCTCTGAATTTCTATCCACCGTGCAAAAAAGGGCGTGCAATGACTTTGCCTCCTTCTTCACTGACAAAATTCATGCATCAGGTACAGCAAATGTTTTGTCTCTGTGTCCACCTAAAATCAATTCAAACACCATGACACAATTCCATCTGATTAATGATAAAAACCTAGAGGACATTATACAACTTCTGAAATCCTCCTCCTGCTGCCTTGATATTATTCCAACAGGGTTTTTCAAAAATGTTTTTCCTTGCATGGCCTCAGATCAACTTCATATAATAAACAAGTCTCTTCACTCAGGTGTTTTTCCACAGGCCCTGAAAACTGCAGTCATTAAACCGCTCTTAAAAAAGCATAATCTAGACCCTTCAGTAATGAACAATTACAGGCCAATATCAAACCTGCCATTTATAGGTAAAATCATTGAAAAAGTAATTTTTCAACAGTTGAGTAATTTCTTGCATTTAAATAACTGTTTGGATGTGTTCCAGTCAGGATTTCGTCCAAACCACAGCACTGAGACTGCTCTTGTAAAGGTCTTCAATGACATCCACTTAAACACAGACAGTGGCAGAACTTCAGTGTTAGTATTATTAGATCTCAGTGCTGCGTTGTTAGATTCTATGATATTATTGTTGCATCAAGTAGCATCTTGCTCTTGTAGATAAACAAAGTTTTGATAGAAAAATGTATTGACTTTCTGTTTTATATCATATTCCGTTTGTTTGTACCTTTACCAGTTAGTCCACAAGTTTATACTTTAACAGAACATAACATTTTCCATCTGAGATATAGCGGAGTAGAAGTATGAAGTAGCATTAAATTACTCATGCAAAGTACAAGCCCTTCAAAATTGTGCTTGAGTACAGTACTTGAGTAAATGTACTTAATTACTTTCAACCAAATACCACTGTTTGAACCCATTGCCCATACATAGAAATGCAATTTATTTTCTTCAAGCCGTATGCACTCTGATATTTGAAATAAAGTCAAACTCAAGGAGCTATACAAATTTCAGGAAAACGTAAATTTATTAAGATAAAACAAAACGAAATTTTTAAAGAAAAGTACACAAGGTGTATCAAACACCAACAATAGCAATCATATGTGGGGATGAGTGTTTAAGGTTTCTGTGGTGGTTTGTTGATAATATTCAAAAAGGGTAAGACATTCGCAATATCGATGGTGAAACAGGACTGTTGTACTATGACACAGACGGACATTTCTCAAAATGTACTTGGTCACGCTGTTACATTGTGATGGACTTATTAACAGTACCCACGCTCTTTCTTCACTCACAAACAAAACCAGTTCTGAAGAAGACAGCATGTTGCACAAGACCAAAAAAGTCACATTCATGCACAGACAAGAAAACATTTGCCTTAACAAAGGCTACAACCAGCATGTAAATACTGTGAAGCACTGCCCATAACAGGATACTGTTTACAGACTGTGCCAACAACTCTATTCCTACATATTTCTTATTACAGTTTGACTTTAGATTATTGACATAAAATGATTTGCAAGTCAAAAATCACTTATATATATATACCATGGTCAAAAAGCATTTCACACAATGGCACTATTAATAAAGATCAATTGATCAATTAGGACATGATTTATACATCACCACATGTATAAAAACACATTCATAAACATAACGAGGGATAGGCAGACAGTAGAGTACTTAAATAACAGATATAAGTATCAGATCAAATGTATATACATTAATTCAGGTTAAGCAGAAATCTGAATATGTGCTGCCAGAAAGATGCAAGGTATCTGGTCGGAATAATCAGCCTTTACAGAGAGGTACAGAGAGGTAGAAAGAGGGAGAAAAAAATTATGTTAGCATTAAAATAGCCAAAACATAGAGACAATGGAGTTTACCTTGTGTCTTTTTACGTTTTGGCTATATGGTAGTAAATATAGAATCATTTATTGTCATTATACAGGTACAATGGGATGAGTAGAGTTACTCCTTTTGTATGTCTAAATGATTAAAAATAAGTCAATTAAAAGGGGTCAGATATCATATTGACTGCGTATAAAAAATAATAATTTTAAAGCAAAGTTCATGGCTGACAGTTTTTGGAAGAGAACCTCTAGAAAAATCCTAATTTATTGATGGTGGCCCTGCACTCGAGTTCAAAAGATTTTGTTCCAATCCCCCCCTCACAAGAGTCCGACTCTTCATTTTAAATACACCAGAAGGACTCTCTTCTGCCAGGTTCTTTATCTTCCAGAGCCAATACTTCTCTCTTCAAAGATGGTAATTTCAACCTAGAAGATAGAAAGTTAAGGAAAAAACACATTGCAAATGAACATTTTCTTATATTTTCAATAAAGTACTTTTCTTAGCATACAAAGCGTTACACCAGGTATTATTTACTACCTCATTTATTGGGCTATGTATCATATTCCCTTAAGGATTCAAAGACACTATTTAATTTTAAAGTAAAATTAGGCACATTTTAAAGAATAACCTGGCCAAGCTTGTAGATTAAAATATTTCATAGACGAATAAGGATACAACTCTGAGGCCTCTCTCTATGGGGTCTGTCAACAGCAAGCCTCTGGGAGCGTAAATCTTTTCATTCTGGTCCTTGATGTACCTGGCAATCTTCTTTAAAACCTGCACACAGAAAGACACATTGAAGATACACATTGATTTGTAGATCTGTTCAACCAGAGACATAAATATGAGCTAATTGATACAAATAATAATATTAAAGCAGTTTGACCTTTTCATAGTGTGTCTCCATACAGAGGAATATTGTGTAGGCAGTTATACAAGCCAGACATCCTTCCAAATACGACTTCCCTCCTAGTTTCTCTGCTTCTGCATACAAGTTGTTAAGAGTCTGGATGGTTTCCTCAAACTGCTGCTTATCAATCTGAAACAATGCAAATATTTAATTTATTTAGACACTTTCTTTTAACATTCAGTCAATAATCATTACATGGATGTAAACACAGTACGCACCCTAGGCTCCAGTTCAGAGGGAAACTTGGTATGGAACTTGGAGATGGTTCCTGAGCCGTAGTCTCTCTGGACGAACACCTTGGAAGAGGCAGTTGGCTGCTGAAGGTCCTGTAAACTGTGGGTCTGGGGCAGAACAAAATCAACAATGAGGAGGATGCTTTCTTTCATGAAGAATATCTTTCTTAAGGATTTGAACAGTAGCAGCTCCTGTAATGCCAGCTGCAATGTCATCAGAGGCGGGAGAAGTACTCCGAATTTAAGTAAAAATACTACATTAAAAAATGCTACTCAACTTAAAGTACCAAAAGTAAAAGTAGCCATTTTGCGGATTGGTCCATTTCAGAATAATATATATCAGATGTTTTGATTATAATTATTATCAAAGCTGGTAAAGGTACAGCTAGTTTTAATGACTGTATTTGCTACAGGGTAGCTTGTGAATTTACTCCAGGTGTAACTAAAGTATTATTTAAGGGTTGATTATTTTTCACATCATTAATCCAAACCTGCAAAGTAACTAAAGGTATTATAGTGGAGTTAAAGTACACAATTTACCCCTGAACTGTAGTGGAGTAGAAGTACAAAGTAGCAAAACATTGAAATACTAAAGTAGAGAACAAATTCCTCAAAATTGTACTTAAGTACAGTACTTGATCAAATGTACTTAGTTACGTTATACCACTGTTAATCATTAGACTCATTTAATCATGCTAACGTTATTAACAAGCCAACAGCTACCACAAAACATATCGGTTTTAGATGTAATTGATATCCGATGACAATTGTTCCTTCTGTTGACACTGTTGATTTAGGCTACTAAACAAACATTAATCATATTACAATATAAAAGTATAAAATAATGTTTAGTATAGCAATCCACTGATAAGGGTAACGTTAGCTAGCTTCGTTAGCTTACGTTTGCTGACCGATCCGCTGAAGCAGTATGAATGGCTAGGTTAGCCTTTATCGTCAACCAATAGAAATAACTAATTCTAACATTGTTAAATACCCAGGCATCCAATCACCTGTCAATATATTATAACGAATAAAACCACAAAAACCTTACCTCAGCCATTGTGGATATTTCCCTACAGCTGCTACACAACTACGCCCCAGCTCAATCGACTTCCGGTGTATTATTTTCAGAATAAAAGTAGAACTAGACACATCAAGTCCCTCACTTGGTTAATCCCTATAAATCTTAAACTGCACATTATAATTATAGCGTCTTCATTTCATTTCATTTCAAACCTTTATTTAACCAGATTGGTCCCATTGAGATCATAGATCTCTTTTTCAAGGGAGACCTGCAATAGCCATAGACTGTATATATATAAAGGTCTGAGCACTGAAATGTGCTTCATAAATATCACGCATTATCATCATCAAACCCCAAGCCTGTTTTTCAGGTCTCCGGCTCGAAAATGACATTCCCAGAACAAATGACTATATCTTCACTTCTAAAAGGGGTAAATTAATAATCTTTGTTCTCAAAGCGATGATAAACCTGTGAGTTGGATGTAGAAAAGTCAGAATCAATATAGATGTTTTTATTTTTAAAGTAAATTCAGATTGAACATAGTAAAAAAATGTAAATTATAGTTTCCGTCCAAAGAAAACCATTACTTATAGTGAAAAGCACCCTTGAATGATGGGATAGTAGACTAAAAGCTTTAGGAATCCAAACTATAACATATAATAAGTACTCTGTATCAAGATTGATGCAAAACAAGTTACATTTGACATTTTTAGAGAGGTTTAGAAAGAAAAAAAACACCTCTGGGGTCATTTGGGTGTATTTGCCATATCTCTCTGGAACTCATTGGTCGATTTTGATGATTGACACCTCTTTTTTAACCGTTAGAGCCAATAGAATCGAGGGGAAGTTCCTAAATCCATCTAAACATTACCATTGGTGAATGAGAGTGATGCGCAGCCAGCATGCCCAAACCGAAAGCTACCTTACGCTCTATATGAAAACTAGGCTTAATGCCATAAATGTTATGATGGATTATCAGTAATAATTTCAAAGTGACACAGAGACATTGGATTAACCTTCAGCAGTGTTTATATGCGTTGTAATGCCATTGAACACAACTTTTGATCAGAAAACAGCAAAGGTAAGACGTATTTGCCGTTTTGGCCCCGTAAAGTGAAGTTGTGTGTTGTCTTTTCTGGCTTCGCTGCCGTGAGTTTTGGTCGCACAGTGATGATACCTATACCATTGGAATCTGTGGAATCTCAGCTTTCATATGCTATCTAGTTTGTGCAGATAGCATGAAGTATAACATATTTCTACCATGAGTTATGTGCTAAGTGCGTTTGCACTCTTTCGCTTAGTGCTAATTCAGAGGCTCTGCGCTGTTAGAGTTGTGTTTTGTTTAGGTAAAAATTGTTAATATCGTCAGTTAGCTGAGTTTCTTCCCATTAAGTGGGTATGACACATTAATAGGTTGTTAAATGTTAAGAAGCCCTGAGACACAGTTTCGTGAATATTGTTGTGTTTTGCATGGGGTTTAACAGGTTATTCTAACCATTTTCCCGGATGAGATGGTCGTTTGACAATACAATTTCGCCTGTCCCATAGGTTACACATTTATATTCTTTAATGCAACTAGTCCATATGAAACCCTTCTATGGCAAGTAGTTATAATTCAATTTGTATTTATAACTATTTACAATTGAATTCCTGATATCAAAAAATGATTCAACTAGTTCAAATTGTATTTCTGATGTCAACAATTGGCATTTCGACTAGTTCAAATTGAATTCTTGATATCAGAAATTGGTATTTTTACTAGTTCAAATTGAATTGTAACAATTGAATTACTATCAGACATTCAACTCCCATTGAAATGAATGAGAAAAACGATGCAATTCTCTAGTTAAAATCGCATTTCTGATATCAGAACTACACATTACAACTAGTTACAATTGAATTTCTGATCATTTGCATTCTAAGTTGATTTGATTGATTTTTGATATCCTCCAGAAATGAAAAGCTAAATCTGCTTGCCATATCGTTCAGACACTAAACAATTCATCCCTAGTCAAGTTCAGTTTGCTAAAATCATGTTATCATTAGCTCCGTGCTATACAACAACCACACACCTTGTGATACGTATTCACCTTAAATGTATTGGAGGACATTATAGTAGTTTAAAAGACATCTCAATATCAAACTCTACAGGTTAACCATGACTGAAGAAAGATAACATCCTCAGATTTGATGTTGGAACTGTAGGAAGTTTTTGAGCATTGGTTCACACCTTTATATATAGTCTATGGTTCAAACAAACCCTTTATAAAGCAGATACATTTATTCTACACCCAACTTTATAAAATTACATAATCCCACTGCATTTATCCACATGCAACATTATAGTTCAATACTTAAAGAATCAGAAAAGTCAGGTTGAGTAAAGATGTTTTTTTTATTGAATCATGGTGTCATTTGACTCAATCTTGGTTGTTCGCTGTATTTATTTTAGTCGAACAGACCGAAGCCCATGTCATCATCTGATCCCTCAGCCTCAGACTCTTCCTTAGCCTCCTCCTCCTTAGCAGCCGGAGCGGTCTCAGCTGCGGCCGCTACAGGTGCTGCGACAGCAGCAAAAGCAGATGGGTCAGCCAAGAAGGCCTTGACCTGTGAAGACAAAGATATTGTTAGTTTTACATTTAGGGTTTTCCTGGTTTACAGAGGCAAACATCTGATTAGTGGCAAGATGTCTGAAACCTTTCGTGCCTGGCAGTCGAGTGATGCTAACTGACAGGTATAGCGAGGAAACAGTTGATGTTTGCAGGGGGAACGACAAAGCAGTACTTAACAAGCTGCATTGTAACTTATCCTGCACTTAAACATGTCTATGAATCCATGTTTGTTTATATAGGCCAATATTACATTTGTCTCAGAGGACTACCGTTTATACAGAATATGAAACTCGCATTGAACAAGGAAAAACGTACAAAGAGAACCCACAGTAAAAATAATTCTGATCAACATGTTACTCTAGTGCTGATTGAATGTGTGTACCTTGTCTGCCAGGGGGAAGGAGTAGTCTGTCTCCACAGCGACAGCCAGGACTCTCTTGAAGCCATTGATGACGGTGTGGGGGACAGAGGCCAAAGTGGGATAGCCAATCGTCAGACACACGCTTGCAATGTTCCTCACACCCTAGAATAAAAGACACATCTTAAATGGTGGATATGGTACAGATATACCAAACAAGTTATTTTTAAGAACTAGTTAAAATTCCAACTCCCATTGAAATGAATGAGAAAAACTATGCAATTCTCACTAGTTAAAAATCGCATTTCTGATATCAGAAATACACATTACAACTAGTTATAATGGAATTTCTGATCAAGAATTTGCATTCTAATGGGTTTGATATCAGAAATAAACATTACTATTAAGAATTGTTGATATCAAGAATTTGCATTCTTACTGGATATCCTCCAGAAATGAATAAAAGCTGTCTTGTCATCGCAGATATGACAATCAATTATTAAATGAAAAGTTTAAATGTCTGAAACCTTTCGTGCCTGGCAGTCGAGTGATGCTAACTGACAGGTATAGCGAGGAAACAGTTTATTGTGTGCAGGGGGAACGACAAAGCAGTACCAAACAAGCTGCATTGTAACTTATCCTGCTAGATCAAAAACAACGACTCAAAGTATCAACATGATAGTGACCGTTTAACTCACTTCTCCAGGGAAAGAATAAAAGCGTTGTTAGATGCGATGTATAAAACGGAACATAGGCTACGTGATCTGTACAACGTGCCATGTGGCCGAGTGCTAACGTTAGATACCAAACATAAGTTATTTTTAGTTGCAAGGATAGCTTTCACTCAAGCACAGAATCTCACCTCCAGGAACTTGGCATGCAGAGAAGCCTCAGTGATGTCGAGCACCTCAGGACTGTAAACACTGCCATTGTCATACACCTGCTGGATGTTGAGTCCATAGGAGAAAGGCGAGATGTTCAGCATGTTGAGGAGCGTGGCCTCGCTGGCACCAACCTTGTCGCCGGTCTTGATCAGATTGACGTCATTCTGGAGAGAGAAATGCTTGTTAGCTACTGGTAAACAATTGTATACATTATGCTAACAAGTCTGGGACATAAGGTTGCAGATATACATGAAGCAATCCATCCAGCATGTCAATTAGTCAGTGAAATACTAACTAATATAGTAAGACGGTTTTAAGCTCACCAAGATTTCAATGGTTCCCCTAGAGATCTTGGTGGTGATACCCAGAGCCTGGAAGAAGGAGGTCTTCTCAGGCCCCAGACCAGTGTTCTGGGCTGGCACGGTGACTTCACAAGGGGCGAGGGCTCCGGCACGGGCAGCTGCAGGCACCTGGGGATTTGTGAAAAGTCAGTTTAGGACTCCATTTTGGAAGACATAATGGAGGTTTAAGTTTTTATTTAAGTGTGTCTGAAACCTTTCGTGCCTGGCAGTCGAGTGATGCTAACTGACAGGTATAGCGAGGAATCAGTTAATGTTTGCAGGGGGAACGACAAAGCAGTACCAAACAAGCTGCATTGTAACTTATCCTGCACTTAAAAATGTCTGAATCCTGTTCTTTAGAGTGAACAAAACAGTTAACCAAATCACTAATAATTGCATTATGTGGTTGTCCATTTAAGATTTGAGTCGAAACTTTCAGCATAATTCTTACAATTAAGACTGCATTAGTTTGCCAGGTATAGCCAATAACGGGCAACTTAAAACATCTTAAGTTAACAAAGTTACTTTAGGAGCCATCAATAGCAAACGTGTGGATTAACAACAGAGTAAAGTGGTGGTATAAGGGCCATTCTTTTATTCAATTTCTCACCTTGTTGTGCAGCAGCAGGTCCCGAACCTCGGTCAGATCCTCCTTGGTGAAGACAAAGCCCACATTTCCTTTAATGTGAGGCAGAAGCCTGTTAAATTATGGAATCCATTATTAGATTTGTTGGCAGATATGACAATCAATTCTTAAATGAAAACAGTTTAAATGTCTGAAACCTTTCGTGCCTGGCAGTCGAGTGATGCTAACTGACAGGTATAGCGAGGAAACAGTTTATTGTGTGCAGGGGGAACGACAAAGCAGTACCAAACAAGCTGCATTGTAACTTATCCTGCTAGATCAAAACAACGACTCAAAGTATCAACATGATAGTGACCGTTGAACTCACTTCTCCAGGGCAGGATTGTTCTCAAGGTGTCCACGAATGGCTTTGCGCATCATGGTGTTTTTGCCCATGAGTACCACAGCCCTTCCTCGCAGAGACAGACGGATGGTCTGCATCTGCTTGGAGCCGACATTGTCTGCACCCACAACGAAGCATTTGGGGAAATCATCCAGAAGTTGCTACAAATAGATAAACATCAATCAAATACATATTCCGTAAACATTTTAGTGGAAAATATATACTGTGTTGATAACAACTTACATAAGTCAAGTCCTACTTACGATGATTTTCAAAAAATAGTTGGACTTCCACGTGGCCCTGTCTTCCCTGGGCATCTTTGCAGTGCTTCCAAGGATCGCTGAACAGCTGATTTAAAGACAAGGTAATATCTGCAGAAAGAATAAAAACATTGTTAGATGCAATGTATAAAACGGAACATACGTGATAGTGCTAACAACTGGTCCATATGAAACCCTTCTATGGCAAGTAGTTATAATTCAATTTTTATTTCAAATTGAATTCCTGATATCTAAAAAAGGATTTGGAACTAGTTCAAAATTGTATTTGATAACAATTGGCATTTCGACTAGTTGAGATTGAATTCTTGATATCAGAAATTGGTATTTTTACTAGTTCAAATTGAATTGTAACAATTGAATTCTTGATATCAGAAGTTGGCATTTGAACTAGTTCAAATTCCAACTCCCATTGAAATGAATGAGAAAAACAATGCAATTCTCACTAGTTTAAAAAAAAAAAAAAAATCGCATTTCTGATATCAGAAATGCACATTACATCTAGTCATTTAATTTCTGATTAAGAATTTGCATTCTAACTAGTTAAAATTCAATTTGATATCAGAAATAAATATTACTAATAAGAATTGCTGATATCAAGAATTTGCATTCTTACTAGTAAGAATTGATTTGTGATATCCTCCAGAAATGAATAAAAGCTGTCTTGTCATTGCAGATATCACAACGGTTTAAATGTCTGAAACCTTTCGTGCCTGGCAGTCGAGTGATGCTAACTGACAGGTATAGCGAGGAAACAGTTTATTGTGTGCAGGGGGAACGACAAAGCAGTACCAAACAAGCTGCATTGTAACTTATCCTGCTAGATCAAAAACAACGACTCAAAGTATCAACATGATAGTGACCGTTGAACTCACTTCTCCAGGGAAAGAATAAAAACATTATTAGATGCGATGTATAAAACGGAACATGGGCTACGTGATCTGTACAACATGCCATGTGGCCGAGTGCTAACGTTAGCCGGCTAACAGCTAGCATGTATTGAGTAGGCCCAGTCACCACGCCGTGCTTTTACAGGAACCATAACATATATTTTAGTGCTATAAGTGGTTCTTGTTATACCAAAAGCCGTATGTGGCCTTTCTCCGTTTAAAGGAAAAGGTTTTTTTTTGTTTCCTAGAATAGCAGGAGCAGGCCTTACCGTGACTAGAGGGTCGCGTGAAAGAAAGAGAAACAGGAATAGACGCAAGCAGAGTTTATACAAAATAAGTGACGAATCACAAGAGAGTATGGGCATTATCTTCATAGCTATTGGTTGTTTGCTATGTCAATCACAAGGCGTTCACTTGAAAGCTATTGGTTGGTTTCTTTGTCAATCACAAAGGAATATGGGCGTCAGCGTCATAACTATTGGTTGGTTGCTATGTCAATCACAAGGGCGTATGGGCGTCAGCTTCATAGCTATTGGTTGGTTGCTATCACATCCGATCACCTGCCTCGTGGGAAATCCCACGAAACCAAAGTGACTGACAAACATTCATCCGTTTCAACGATCAAGATCGGTATAAAGAATTATGTTTCTGCCTTTTTTTTAACTGGGCTTATGGTAAATGAAAACCATTGATTAAACAAACACAAGCGATGACACAGCCGGCACCTCAGCTCCCGGCAGAGGTCTGGAGCCACGTTTTTGGTTATCTCTCAGCGGCAGACAAGTTTAGCGTCCGGACAGCCTGCAAGTATTTCAAAAAACTTGTTGACCACGGATGTCTTTGGAAAGACTGGTCGGTGGTTCTGGGTTACCATAAGGGATATTATAACAGTCCGTTTTGGGGCACTCTGCGCCGCAGAAAAGTCACCAGTGTGGTGTTGAGGGGCACCAGAACTAAGGACCTGGAACGGCTGGCCTCGTCCCTTCCTACTCTCACCACAGTGGTAATGGACCAAAGCTCCCAAGCAAGCCTCAGCTTCTTAAAGGAATGCACACATCTGAAGCGTCTGGCTATTAGAGGCAGTGGCACTCCTCTTTTGCTAGATGGCTCCACTGTGTATGAACCCCTGCAGTTGACTCACCTGAGCATGTGTGATGTTAAACTTCCCACTATAGCAGGGTGTAGCTTAATTTCAGCTGTCCTCCCGTTTCCAAATCTTACATCTCTAGTCTATCATAAAGCGAGACTCAGTGAAAACACTTTGTGGCAAGACACTTTGTGGATGGTTCACGTTCCCTCCATACTTACCCGTCTGCCTATGCTTAAACATCTCTCTTTGTCCGTTGGGTATACACTGTGCACCTTTCACAATAGGTCCAGACCCAGCCCAGGTCCCCCAGGCGGAGATGGGGCCTCAGTCTTGTCCAGTTTGGAACTTATCGACTGCACTCACTCATTTGAAGCAGATGCAATGAAGCGAATGCCTGGCCTGAAGCGTCTTGCTGTTTTCCACAGATACTCACATCACCAGATGCCATTAGGACTGCTAGCAACAGATGGTGGTGACTTAAAAACCTGGCTGAGGGACCTCTCTCAACTGTCAACACTGGTCATAGTCAAGGGCCCGCCTGTTAAAAAGTATGTCACATCCATTCCAGACACAGTGACCAGTCTCACTCTGTGTGTTGCAGGATTGTCCCCGCAGGACATGGAGGCGGTGTCAGTGCAGGTACCAAATCTCCTGCACCTTCACATTGACCCCTGGCCCTCACATTTAGGAGCTCAGGCAGCTCAAATCCCACAACTTTTTCCAAAGCTGAAAAGTCTCAAACTGCGGCATGAACATGTATCAGAGAGAGATTTCTTACAACTTCACCAGCTGAAGGACCTGGAATACTTGGAGATTCTGGATATCCGCCCACACCTCTCTGAGCTCACCAGAAAGCTCCAAGCTCTCACAAACTTCAGACTTCAGGTCACAACGTCTCCTCGCAAGAGAGATGTGCTGACTTGTCCTTGTGTTTGTCAGTTGAATTGAACTGCTCTGTTTTAGCAGGCCAGTCGGATTATTTCCATATTGTCGGGGTCAAATGCATATCTGGGATTTCTTTTTTTTAAGTGTGAACATGTATATACCTCAAACAAAGATTTTCAAATTGCACAGCTCATATGTGGTGCCTTGTCATACATTCCATTGTTAACCTAAATCCAGAGTTCCCAATAAGGGGACCACCCTCTGAAAAAGGGTCATGCAGTGAGTGCCAGGGGCCGATAACTAATAGGAGTATAATAGAGCTGAAATAAATGTTCATTTAATAAAAATTGTAAATTACTGGATCACCCAATTTTCCCTTAATTAACGGACTATTAACTAAAATGCTTGATTTACACACAAAGAGACACTTATAATTCATTAATTTTATGGCAATCAATTCTGATTTTGTACTTTTATGAAACAGCTTATTAATTAATGTGGAGCTTGAACTTGTTTAGTTATGCATCACATCTTATTTTCACTCATAACTGAAATTAATGTTGGTTGACTATCATATTCAATCTTACTAATAAATACAAATTAATACATCAAAATAGTTTCCACTCAAGTTCTTTTTAATATTACATGGACATCTTGTATACTAAAGACCTGGTTCAATGCAAACAGTGACTAGAAAAAAATGGTGGAAAGAGAAATCACTTTTAAAACAAAACAGTACCAGAAAGAAAGTACTTATTTTATTCGCAGCAGGTATAATAATCAGTCAGTAATCAGGACCCACATAGGCTTTCACCCCACCCACACAAAGAGCCAGTAAAATGTGTGGCTCGTGAGAAAATGTAAATGGTAAAGGATCGCATGAAAATCTCCATTTACAAATTCACTTAATCTCATTAATAAAAGGCGTAGATTTTTTTTTAATGAATTCTTTGACAGAAGCAAAAACAATAAGGCAATAATCTGTAAGCAGATAAATATACATGGAGCAACATTAACTCACAATTCCTGTTCACTTCCCCCCTGCTACTTCCTGTAAATCTGACTCAGCTACAAGTGTATATCATTCTGTTTGCTGAATCCTCCTCGGCATGTGTATTAAAGTGTAAACGTTTATGAGTTAAGATGCACCGCAGCAGACGAAGCCTCTCCCGGAGTTCAGCCCATAAAGAGTCAAATCACAGGAAGGGTTGAGAACTCCACAGTGTATAAGACCTTATTGCATTGTCACATTTGGCACAAGAGCAAACATTTTCTCAAAATAAAAACAATCCAAATGTGGATACACGCATAGTGATCATAAAGACAATTAATATTGTCCCAAAAAACAAAACACCAATTGTTTCATATATGTGGCAAAATCGAGCAACAGGGAAAATAAAGATGAAATTAGTTATACATAAATGTTGCTAGAGGCTTGGCCCTGTATTCTGATTCCTGACCAGCTAACACCTGGCTGCATCCATCAGTGAGCCAAGTGCTGACTTCAGCTCAGACAGCAGGATCACAGTTTAGGACTCACAAAGGAAATAATAAGGGCTGCGTTTCATTGGAAGTCTGACACACTGGAATCAAAGCTGGTTGGTGTTGTGTGTGTAAGAATAGGGTAAACTATTGTTAGCCTACATGCCAATAGAGCCAGCTCTTTGCATATCAGTGTGAGCCACAACATCTCAAAAAATATATATATTTTCATCAAAACAGTGACAAAACACAGTTCTGTCTCAAAGTGGAGAATATTACAGGTATACAAATTTAGATTGTGATTGTAACAGCAACTGGCAGCTACTGCTGATAAAACTCCACACAAAAGAAAGCATGCCTCTAATCCAAATGCACAACCGTATTTAAAACCAGCCTTATTAATACAGTGATAAATTCACACAGTAGCAATCGTAAATTAAACTGAAGTGTCATTTATTCTTTTTTTTTTCTGTGTGATTACATTCAACAGAGAATCTCCACATTAAAACTGGAGTAAAGACCTTAAACTTTGTTTTGGCTAAAAAATGTTGGCTAAAACTTGCACCTTACGTTCAACTTTAATAATCATAGTACGGTACATATGTTTTTGTTATTGACCTACTTTTTGTCAAAACCGTTTGCATTTTTTGATGGTTATTAATGTGATTTACACAACACACCCTTTGCGGTGGAGTAGCAAAAAATGAAACTGTTCCGAGTTGCTACAGCGAAACAAATGGCAACTTATCTATATGTTAATTAACAAGAGTACAAATGTAAATGTAATGTTTTCTGAAACTGAGAAATCACGTGGGTTCTTTTTCGTAGTAAAACAGTAGAAAAATAAGGACTAGCTAATATCTTGCCGACACCTGTAAAATGCACCTTAAGACGTCTCATCAAGAGATCTGTGTTGGAGTGTTTAAAGAGTTTACACTGGTATTTTAAAGAAGTGAAAAAGGAGTTCAGTGTGTGTCTGTGAACATGTGGAGAGTTTCAATTTATATATATTTTTTAAATGGCACCTCAATTGTTTCCAAAGCTAGAAAAATACATATTTTTCACAGATCATTCTAACACTGATTTGCCAAGCACTATGTATTCAACACTCAACAGATTCTGCGTATAAACTGCTGAAGTCAACTCACCCTGGTCCATGCAATTGAGCAGCTTCTCATATCTGCATAAAACCACCATAGAGTGAAAAGTCTTGTCCTGCTATGGGGGAATTTAATCTTTTTCAAAATCAGGGCTCTGAGGAGGTCTCAACTCAACAGCCATATGCTTATTTATGTACACATGTGAAAGGGGAAATTAGCACATTTTCTTTGCTGCACACAGGAGAAGAACTCTAAATAAAAATCTCTTTGGGCTCTGTTAAAAATGTCTTTTAGCAAAAGTGTGAAATGCCAAGCCTGAGAGGTTTGACAGAAAGGAGACCCTTCGGTGTCGAGGGTCAAACTGACTCATACATGCTAGACATGTGAGTGCACACACATCCCACACGTGCATTCAGAAATGTGCATACGCGCGTACTTACACATTTATACGCAACCACACAGTCTAACTAAAGAGTTTAACAAAGCAGCCCTGGCAATAGGGCTTGTCGTTCTGCTCCTTGAAGGTGCCTTTGTTGAGCTGCTTCAGGCAGAAAGCGCACACAAAGTGCTCCGGGTGGAACTTCTTAGCCATGGCGGTGATGCAGCGGCCTGTGATGGGCTTCTGGCAGCCGGAGCACAGCGAGCCGCGCCGCTCGTGGTAGTGAGACTCGCAGTAAGGCTGACCGTCATGGTCAAAGAAGCTGCCGTTTACGAAGGGCGTGAAGCACTCCTGGAAGTTCAGAGAAGAGGAAGTAGAAGTTATAATGCTTACTTAAAACTCAAATGCCCGAATC